GAATGAAATTGTGTGCAGATACACAAAACCTCTACGTCTTTTTTGCAATGACATATCCATATATTTCTTTAAATATAATGTAATGAAGATGCGGTATAGAGTTTTAATAGAATATTAATGTTGCCCAAAATCGCGTTATAAGCCTGATTGTTGATATGGTGTATCGCAATAGCTGCAAACCTATACTCATAGAAAAATATTTTATCGATTCCACACATAAACAAAATTAAAAAATTCTATATAAATACAATACTGTGTCACTCCATAATTGATTGTCAAGTTCAATCAGATGGAAATTTTAAGACCAATATCCACAAAGATTTTATTGTTTAAAAGACGATAAAAATGATGATTTCCAAAATAAAATAAGAAATTCATGTATGTGTTCCTTTTCAAACTATGACATTGGTATATCGTGTGCTGTGATGTTATTTCTTAATGTATTTCATGTATGTATGACTTTCCAGAACATTTATTTCAGAAAATGGATTGTGACGATTGTTATTAACGTTTTGAAATCAAGCAGACTTATCTAGCTGTCACTCCATCTCTACGATTACATTGTCAAAAGAATGTACTCCAACAAGCGTTTGAGATTGTGGTGTTCTGTAAATATTGATATTCGAAACTAGTAGGTACTTTTTACTATTCATATTTACATATGCTGTTCGCAAACTGAGAAAAACGCAATAAAACTTTTTACATTTGATTCCTTCGAACCAATCTATAGATACAGTTCTTCGAAATAGCAATATATTGTGACAAATTAAAGAATCAACTGTCTTAAACAAATTTATTTCCAATAATATTTCACCAATCACAAACTAATTTATATTCAACACTTAGCAACTAACGCTTAATTTATCTCCACTATTTGAATTCCTTGTTTAACCGCTCGATTCACTTTCTGAACTGAACTGCCCTTTTGAGTCGAGAAGCTGGGCCTAAATAGTGTAACGGTTCCTTTCCGAAATCTGTAGTCGGTTCGATACTCGACAAGAGTTTTACCGGCGGTTGCCGACTGCATTCCTTTTGAGGTGATGGCATGTGTTTGTTCGCTGGACGGCATATCGGTCAGGGACGGCTTCAGATTCGTTACAATATCTAGTTTTTGTTATTGGTGGTATTCGCTTGTTAACAGGGTCTCCTTTTATTCTTAGTAATAAATATTCAAGATAGCATAAAAAAATAATGAAGACCTACAATATATCCTTCAACAATGATGATATTAGTCGTTCTGAATACTTGAACACTGAAACTGTGAAGAACATGTATCCATAAAACAAAGCAATTACTTTAATTAAAATCACATCGTTTCGAAACCCAACTTGATCAAAATCTCGTCCATATTCATTAAACTGAACCGACCGATTCTGTTGGGAGTTTTTATCGACACAAAGTTTGTGACTGTGTCCACCGCTGATTTGTAAATTAATATTACAGAGAAATCGCTTAAGAGCGAACTCATTTCGAAGTTTGGCCAATCGACTTTTTTTCGATGGATAATTAGGGTTTTATGGAAATGAAATTCAAATTATGGAGATTTGCACATGGCCTATACACTGTTCAGAAATTCCCGGTTGTCTCCCTGATGACTTTTTGAAAATATAGAGTCTGGTACGAACTTTCTCCTGAAGAGAGGTTTACATTAGATGAGGTTGCTTGAATAAGTTTAAAATAATAACTTTTTCTAGCGCTACATGCTAATTTTAGAGAATGTTCCTGAAGCACAGTTTCAGAGATAGCTCAATTATGTCATAAAAAGTTAAACCCTTTTAAATAAAATTATCAATACATTCTTAAATCTAATGATTCCATTGTGTTCAATTTCAAACTTTTGAAATGTCTTGGATAACACAAACGATAGTTAAGTGTCTGCAAAAACACCAGTTTTAGGTTAACCTTCGCTACAAATAAAAGAAATATTCTCCATCCTAAAATAATTAGAAATATAATCGTGCATATTGAATGAAACCATACAATTGTCATTATAAATTGTTTTTACTGATATACTGACTAATCAGTTTCACACCATTATTAAATAATAAAAGGGGTGCATATAAAAAAACCCAATAAAATAGTTTACTTTTATTGTTTGCCTCAATTAATGAGCTTAATTTCACCTAACAATAAAACGGAAATGTTAAGCAAAGTAGGCCATGAAATTTGGAACTTGATGAAGATAACAAGGTATACATTCTGTTTCCATTTGAAATTCAGTTCATTGTCGTGTACATATTAATAAATAGTGTTATGTAAACATAAAAATATGAAAACGTTTCAATGCGTCAACATTTCTGTTTATTTTCCTGGAAATAGTTTTAGCCCTTATCAGTTACAATCAGGTTATTCAGTTTTCTAAATACGATATACAGGCTCCTGTGTAAAACTCAAGAAAACTCCCAACCGAATAGTGTTGGTTTATCTTCCGTCCCAGAGATGACGCTGTCAGTGATTTTCCGAAACAGGTAAAACTAAATAAAAAATCTCCGTCCCTGAAAACCCCCCAGATACCAATTTTGAATAGAATTGGACCATAATCACAAAACTTGTCTGCCATAATGGAGCCCCATTTTATTTTGTTTTTTTTTTCCAACAAAAATTTCATAATGGATTTTCAACGGAAACTTCCCAAATTTCAAATCAATCGGATGATTAAATGTGTGTCAAATTTAACTTACAAGATTTGATTACAGACACACAGTCAGATACCGATATAGGTGAAACTAAATGAAAGCTTGTAAAAATCAAAACTTTAACAAGTTGTTTTATCGAGTTACCAATTAGTATCTTTTCTCTTTCTAAACATCACATTGCCTGGTGTGAGCCCAAAATCCTTAGACAGTGTTCCAATGTTTTGTGAAAGAGTAATCAAACACAAAACCCTAGCAAATAATAAATTACTGTTGCCTTAGAACTGAACCCAATTAGAATGAGAAAGCACTTGGTTAATCAAAGTAGAACTCAAATGTCAATTTCTAAACATCCAGTGACTTTTGGGGAGATCTAAATAAATTTCCTGATGAGTGAAGAAAAAACAAATTATATTTCACTTCGTTCAACCGCAACATCAGTACCTATTATTATGACTGTAAGGTCTGACTGTATTCGATAAAAAAATTACTTTAGCTTCTGACATTGAATCTGTAGTAGCCTAAAGTAACTGTATGTTGGCTTTTCTCTTAAGAACATGTTCGTAACAGAGTGACATTGGGACGCGTCTGCTGTCCATAGAATAAAATTCATAAACAGTAAATAACCTAATTGATTCACAGTAAGGTTTTTAGATATCGAAACTTCAGAATATATAAATGTGCAATCTCGTGGCTAGGAAAATTTGAGACGGCAATTTTGTTTTGTTTCATTCAAAATTTGTATAGAATATGCAAACATTATTTCTGATACGGATTATTAGGTAAACAATTTCGAAGCCCCATATAGAAAGGGAATTGAGCCCTTTTCAGGTGTTATGTAGTTCTTTCGCCAACTTCAACTTGTCTCTGTTTCTATCGTTCCGTCCAAATTCGCTCGATCACAATAAAAATGATATAAGAGAACCGGAAAAGTGCAGAGCATCTTCAATATTAACGACCTCTGTGAAAGTTCTCTTTTGAAAAGCGATTCATCGTACCAGACATGTCCCGAATTTTTTAATGCGCGACCACAATCCCACGCAATCTTTTCTGCTCGCCTAAGCTTATAAATCAAACAAGTGTTCCAGCGTTGCTAATCGTGGCAAAATGCTGTTTCGTGTCAGCAAACTCACTGGTTTCGTCCAGCATTCCTTCGCGATTACGTTTCACCTCACATCTGAAGTAGACGTTGACTTCCTCAATTGAAAACGGGCCCTTTATCTTACTCGGGTGAGATTGCTATCGTAAGCCGAGGATAAGAACATATTCTCTCACCATTCAAGAATTGTTGTCAATTTCAAAAGAATGCAAAGGTTGCAAAAAAGGAATAAGCTATAAAAAATAGTGATAACAAAAACCGCAAGACAATAGTTTGGTGTCAGATAGGTCAGGAGTCTATAAATTTACTTGTGGTTCATTCGAATCAAATGAATCACAAAGATATATGAATGATATATGAAAGATATATGAATCGACAATTCAAACAATACACTCGATTTCTTTCACTGCTATCTATCCTATTCGAGTTCCGCAGAGCTCGATTTTGGGACCTCTCCTTTTCGTGCTATTTGTTAATGACGTTTCTCGGTATATCGGGCATTCTAGATATGCCGATGATCAAGCTTTTTAGAAGAATCGAAAGCGAAAAAGATTCTGATATGTTTCAAGATGATCCCAATAATCTATCTACTTACTTTTCAGTATCTGACCTATCTCTCAACGAAGCTAAATGCAAAATAATGAGTTTCACACGAAGGAAGTCACCCACTATCAAGGACTATTTCATTAATCACACCAATTTACAGAGAATCAATTAGATGAAAGATCTCGGGATCATTTTTTCTAGTGTGTTCACGTTTTTCTCGGCACATTGAATATTTATAGAACCTGAATGTTATAGAAAAATGAGATTTGTCTTAAGATCTAGCCGTGAATTCAATCACGATACTTGTTTGTTACTCTTCAACTCCATTGTTCATTCTAAGCTGGAATATGGTTGTGTCATTTGGAATCCAAAGACCTTTTTATATTCTTGATACTATAGAAATGTCCAGAACACTCTTTTTCAGAAAACACAATGTCTGGCCTTCATTTATATCGTATTCTAGCCAATTACCTTTCAGTAAAACATTACTGATTCTCACCCAAGATTAAAACACAGATTTCAAGCATGTCGAGATGATAGACAAAAGATATGCATAACAATCTGTTAAATAACATATATGAAAGAGTTTTATCTGTACGGTTCATTTCAATCAGTACTTTCTACGTTATCTATCAAGGCAACCTATGCATTCCCAACCAAAATCTTTACTATTTCGATAGTATTTACCATCACCAATTCTAATAATTCTTCTTCTGTTTCAGATGCTGAAAATGCCTTTCGTCACACACCTACTCCTCCTCGCCGTTCTCACGACGTGCATACCTAATGCGACTGCGCTAGGGTGTCCAACGGGATGTCTGTGCAACGACGACACCTACGTTGTAGAATGCGAACGCAGCAAACTGGACGTGATACCAATAACCCTAAATCCCGCCATACAGAGACTGGTTCTCAGAAACAATAAGATAAAAACTGTTGACTCGGCATTCCAGTTCTACCGGGACCTGCAGTACGTAGACCTTTCCAGCAACCACGTCGTCAACATCCCGACGAGAAGTTTCCTGCACCAAGAGAAGCTGCAAGAACTCCACCTCAACAAAAACAAATTGTCGAGTCTCAATAACAAGACCTTCCAGGGCCTCAAGTCTCTGACGGTCCTCAACCTCAGAGAGAATTTCTTAGAAGAGCTGTCCAAAGGTCTCTTCTCCATCTTGCCCAAACTGGAGGAACTGAACTTGGGACAAAATAGGATATCTAAGATAGATCCTCTGGCTTTCGATGGGCTCTTCAGCCTCAGGGTGCTGTATTTGGATGATAATTCCCTAAGTGCAGTTCCCACCCCCTCGTTTTCGGTTCTTGGCAGTCTTGCAGAGTTGCACGTGGGTCTCAACGGGTTCACCGTGTTGCCCGATGAGGCGTTCAAGGGACTGGGAAAGCTGTCCGTGCTCGACGTCAGTAGTGGAGGTTTGTCCAACATCAGCTCTAACGCTTTCAGAGGTCTCACTGGATTGAGAAGTCTCAACCTAGCCGACAATAGATTGGTGCAGATACCTACTGCTCAGCTTGGATACTTGTCAAGGTTGGAAGATTTGATAATTGGACAGAATGAGTTTACCCGTCTCGGAAAAGGTTCCTTCAAAGGATTAACCAATCTGAGGAAGATTGACATCACAGGTGGGTACAAACACGAATTGATGAATTGAGTTTTATTGACAATTTTGGAAATGGTCGCCTTTCACAATCTGTAAACTAATGAGGAACTTTCCACGGGAATCAAAAAAGGGGACTTTCTAGTACACTCCGATAAGTTGTCGTGTTAATTCATTATATTTTATGCAAAAAATACGCATTCGTTCGGTGTTTTAGAGCTGTGTCTAGTTGTATCTAGATGTTACAATTAAAAGAGAATGGTATTTTTCAGAAAACTGATATTATTTCCTGATATCGGTTTCACAATATCTACTGAAAGTATTTCGCTAGTTTTTGATAAAGGGATGCAGTTTTAATTTAACTCAAAGGAGCATCAGGTTCATATATTTTTGGTAAATCATACACCCGTAAGTTCTTCATTACCACTTTATTTTCTCGGCTTGTGAAAATTCAAAATGAGGTCAATAAAAACACTCTTGATTTCCTCCACAAAAATGACTTTTGTTCAATATAAATTGAGCGTGCTCTACTATATTCGCTAACATAACTTCATCAAATACTTTTTGCGGTGAAACCACAGGAGACGGCTGATACTCTCGTTTAAAAACTTTTTAGAAGTTAAACTTAAAGCACCGTTTTTATTTGATATTTTATATACCTTTTTTACAAGTTCAAGGTTGAATAAGACCCTAGGGAAGCAAAGTTGAGTTTCATGTAAGTCTGTCGTGAAATATTAATGATAATTCAAGGTTGGCGTTCACATTTCAGGCATCTTACTTCGAAAAGTTTCTCTATTTACTGACATATAAAGAGATCATTATATACTGGGTATCGATGAAGAAATATGGTTAATACTTTTCATTAGTACGTATTATTTTATATGAAGTTAGTTTTCCTCCGATAAAGGTTTTGTGAACATAAATGAGGAAATGTTTCACCCAATTTTGAAAAAGGCTTGATACAGAATGAACTGATGAAAAACGACTAGTACTACCTACTACTACTAGAGGAAGTGGGAATTATTTTTCATAAACATATAACTTAAATCACTTACTTATGTTACACGGTAACAGCTCACTACATTTTATATATATATAAAACAAATAGAAATCACAAATTCATCGATTACTTCAAAGTCAATTCTAGTGTAGAGATGAGTCTGAGTTTTTCTACCTGACAAAAAGGAATAAAAATTCTCACAAAGTATTTGGTACTTTTATTGCCAACCTTGAATATAACATGATGAGTTTCCTGATTTTGGCTCGAATTGATTAGCACAATCATGTTTTGGGCTAGTCCCGTTGGTATTCCTGTGAAAATAAATAAATGAAAATTCATGTCTTTCTTTGATTTTAGGTGCCAACAATCTGGAGCACCTCGAAAAGGGTACCTTTAGCGACAACCTCAACCTGGAAACCATAGTTCTGGTGAGCAACAAACGTCTCGAAAGCCTAGAAGACGGAGCCTTGGTAGGTCTACCAAATCTCAGACATCTGGTGCTCCGAGAAAACTCTATCAGGACTATTTCCGAATCGGTGACAAGCTGGAATGAGCTGCGCGCCCTTGAGCTGACAGACAACCCCATCAACTGCGACTGCCAATTGCTGTGGTTGATCAAGTCCATCAACTCGAAGAACCTCACCAACGTGCAGTGTTCGACGCCTCTACGGCTGCGCGATCGTTCCTTGAGGACTTTGACACCCGACGAGTTGGGCTGTTCTTTTCGGGACAGCAGGCAGCAAGCCATCATCATAACTTTCTGTGTTAGTGCTACGATATTGCTAGGTTTGCTGGGGTTATTTCTTTTTCGCTACAGACAGAGGGTGCGGGAGGCACTCAAAGACTACAAGTGGAATAAACGAGCAATCAGCAGAAAGGAACACGAGTACCAGAAGACTTTTTCTGATGAAGATTATAATGCACGTATGGGCCAGCACCATATTAAACAGATTCCAGTGACGGAATTGTAGCTAGAGCTTAGCGCGCCACCTTCTGGGGTAAGTTGAATACTTTAGAAGGATCCTTATCAGATGACTTTGCCCGCCAACTTTGAGCTAGTTGAACTGCTTCACAGAAAATTACATTTAGTGATGGTTGGCATTGGGTTTTCTATTAAACTTGTGAAGTAAATGCATTGGTGGTAATGACAGTACTAAAAAATTACCAGAATTGACAATTTTTCTGAGATTCATTGCAATTTCAAATATGAAATCAGTGAATCTTAGAACAACAAATCTACTATGACAAATGTTGAAATATGCCCAGTAGTAACCAAGACATTCTCCAACAAATAGATATTTAGTTGAAGGGGATTGAAAAAACATTGTTTTTTTGAAGGCGGTATAAATATATATTCCTTTGAATTATACTGTCAACAGACACATCGCACCCATCAATAAGACCGACTTAGCTTTTTAGCGGGGTTATTCGTGCTATTCTTCAGTTCACTTCGAGAGCTCGTTGAATAAACAGCTATACAACATGTAAGCTAGTTGTTCGGGAATCGTGAAGCGTCCAAAATTGTCACCATTAAATCTAAATGAAAAAACAATTGTTATGAATGTATATAATTCTTCAGGAATACAATATCCGCCCGAAATAAAAAGTAAGGAGGAAGTAGTGTTAATAGATCGACAATTTTTAGAATTCTCAAGGATGTCGAGGAAAACAACAACTTTTTCGACCTGAAAGTATCCACTGGTAGAAAGGGTTTGGTTATCGATGAAGAAGTCAAGAATTCTATTAGGAGAACAGTACACTCTTTTTACATAAAAAACGAAATACCTTAATTAAAGAAGATATTACATGAGCTGAATTTCACTTTTGGAAAACAAGATAGAAAGAACACGTTAATAGAAAAATCACAGATTGTAGAATGGAGAAGAAACTATTTAAGAGAAATGAAGAAAGCCAGAGTACTAGGTAAATTTATTTTTTATTTGGATGAAACATGGGTCAATGAGGCTCATACCGTCTCGAAGGTTTGGCAAGATCAGAACATCAAACGTGGAAAACAATCCTTTATGGAAGGTGGGTCACTGGTTTGAAAATTCCAGTTGAAAAAGGTCGTCGTTTTATCATCACTCACATAGGCAGCAGTGAAGGATTCGTGAAAGATGGATGATGGTGTTTTAATCGAACAAAAATGGGGATTATCAAGAAATGGATGCCACAGTATTGGAAGAATGGTTTAAAAATATACTTGTAAAACTATTACTATCACGGATCCGCAGGGATCTGTAATAGTAATGGATAATGCAAGTTACCACAGTGGACGAGTCGAGAAGCTGCCGACGTCGTGTTGGAAGAAAGCAGATATTACTGGGTGATTGATTACAAATGAAAGCTATTCCTTTTGAATCGACCATGTTGAAAGCGGAGCTCCTCAACTTGGCTAAACGTCATAAGTCAAAATTCGTCAGGTATGTCTCCGATGAGGTGGCGAAGACTAAAGGAATGTCGGTTCTTCGGTTGCCGCCTTATCACTGTCAATTGAATCCAATAGAGTTGGTTTGGGCTCAAGTTAAACGATTCATTGCAAGGAATAATAAGACCTTCAAGCTGTGTGAAGTAAAGAAATACCTATACAGTGCTCTGGAAACAGTTGACCAAAAAGCTTGGGAAAAATGTATCCACAAAACAATCACAATCGAAGCAGAGAGAGAGAGATGTGGGATCTGGATGATCGCATGGACTCATTATCAGAAAAAATTATTCCAGTTGTCATCAATCCTAATGAAACTGATTCATTCAGTGAAGAATCACTCAACGAATCCCTGTGCAGTCACACTTGTGTACTTCCTGAAAATGTCAAAGTCGAAGCCGAAACGTCGCGGTTCAACTCGAAATCAGATGTTCAAATTTCTAACCGCGGAAATCTATTCTATTTGTATACTTATCTGGTGATGTTTCGAATACTGTATCCATCTTCATTATCATACCGACGATCAATTTGATATTATCAGTGTCAATGATAATAATAATATCAAATTTATTTACATCAAAAGACGAATCATAACAACAAGTTATAATGTTTTGATTTAAATAGGTTGGATAAATAAAATGGAGAGAGTCTCTAAAACGTCACCAGATGATACATACTTCTCTTAATATGCATTTAATATCAAATGCAGTAACTTTTTGCCCTTTCTACATTTGTATTTCTTTGTAAATTTTATATTCTGATTATTATTTTATATATCTGTAGAAGGTAACAATTCTGAATAATAAAAAACTATTTCAAATATAAATTGTCCTTCCCAAAATAAAATATTCAAATAAAATTAGTTTACACCATATTTTAATTATCTTCTCATCATAGAGGATATATCAATGGAAAATTTATATTAATACCCCCAGTCCGACGCCTATTAATATTATCTTGAACGTAATATCAGAATAAACATCGAGCGGTTCTTTTGTCGGTATTTTCGCATTCTTTGTCGGTATTTTCGCGTTCTTTGTCGGTATTTTCGCGTTCTTTGTGGCATATCCCTATTTTAATGGCTCGTTAGCGGCGTCCTCAAAAGATATAGAGGGTAGACATATCTCTATGATTTTCGTGGGTGAATTGCAGTGCTATTTGCTTGAGACGACTATGTTGCTTTCTTTGATGTAGCGACATGTTTGCATTCTTGAAATTCTTTCACTCTCAGACAATACTGAACGAACTATACAAAAATAATTCTAAATCTTCCCCTTTTTTTTCAGGTATTCTGTTTAGACGGAGAGGGTAGGCGTGCTGCAAAAGGTCCTCGAGGCACATTACCCGCCACCGGCTTCACCTACATGACCGGTGATACATGCAGAGCACACACGTTGAAGGCATACAAAGATACAAGAAATGGCTTACCCAAATGCCACATCGACCTATTCCAGCATTAGTATGTGTGTGCGCTTCGAAAAGGATTTGGCAGTTATGTCGAGCAATAAATGAATCCATTCCAGAGTGTGATTTTACGAGATATAGAGAGACTGTACAGTAGTCGCTAAGTGTATTTTTCTGTGTGACTGTGAGAAAACATCTGTTTTGTTTCGTAGGTAATCTGTGATATCCAATTGCAAACTGGTAAATCCAGGTGGGTGGAGAATGCAAGGTAGATTAAGTTCAGTCGTATACAAAGCAAACAGTTTGATGAGAGGTAATGTTACACAACTGCAGCAATTCTCTGCAAATATAATATCACTACAGAACATATAACTTCCAGAACTGGACTTTATTAAATATTGTTCATTTGATGTGGAGAAAGACAGCTTCTAGGGAAATTTTACGAGACTGAACATTTAAAGTTACCACGATAGATCTTGTATTTTTTTGTCACTGTGATAATCCGAACAGTTCTATGAAATTCTTTCAATTCTCCGCTCACCTATTTTGAAATCTGACTGATCTATCACAAATTCCTTACGAGATGAAATGGGAGAAACTATAGCATTGTAAATTAATTTTCTATGTCCCAAACTGTGTTTATTTTTGAGTTATTCCAAGTCAAACAATATAATAAATATTTCAAGCTGAATATGGCTGTGAGAAAAAAAATTTGCAAATTCATATTATTGTAAGAATTATAAGTTCGGATTTTTTTCAAATAACTATTTAGAAGATTGTGATTTACTTTATAAATTGAAATATTTCTGTTAGTGAACCTTCAACACCAACCATTACAAAAAAGATTCCATTCTAATCATTTCCATGTTCATCATCAGAACAGTATGAATGTTATTCCCTTATATATTGATAGAATTGTGACTTGAGTAATTCAAAAGAAAGCGCTATGTTGAGACATTGTTTGTGAACATATATTGAACGTAAACCAACAATATGAACTACATTTTGACAAACATTCATGTAGAATGAATGATAGAAATTATATCGAATTCAGAATTGACAAATAGTTTTGTGCTGAAGCGCCAAGGTTCAGGCACCTTGAATATATTATCAGTACATTATGTGATGCAGGGCAACTAGAGAAAATGTGATATTTTATGACTGCATATGTTTAGAACAGTAAAGAGCTATGAATTGTGAATCATTTTCGTTTATATATTATAAGTGCTGGATTTCTCCAAACAAGGTTCAAAAAAGCTTAGTGACCTTTAATGTAAGCATAAAAGTCATATATTCAATGTTTAATTTTACTGGGACCCAAAGCTCCTTCTTTTCAATGACTGATTTACAGTTTTTAGATTTTCGTTCACTGTTTTTGTGAACCTTGAACATTATCAACCTCAAGATGGATAGAAACCCTGGTGTAGTCACCGATTCCCTTTTGTTTTGTCAAGAGCTGCCTGAAAAAATTAACCCTTGGTCTACTGGCCGTAAGGGAAGCAAAGGGCATAAAAAAAGGGAAGAAGAAAAAAGGAATCAATCCAACTTTGTACACTTGTTGATAGATGGTGTAAGAGTCGAATTCAACAAGACTACTTGTGTCCACTTCCAGCAAATAAAACTGCTTTGTTGCTGAAGGTGGTAGAGGGTAATGTCTGAATCAAACCTCCGGATAGAATTGAAAATTGTCTGAATGGCGGCTGAAAATGTCAGTGTGAACATTTAAATGTCCACTAGACATTTTTGGGCAGTGTCACTGGTGTGTGCTTAGCGCCTCTGTGAATGGAATGCCTACATTTATGGGTTTTCTTTATCACATGTGTTTTTGGCAAAATATTTCACATAGGAAAGAGATTGAACTGATCGCACTAGAGGTTTTTATGTATCTTGATGAAATTATTACTTGAAATAGATTTGAATTGATTTTGAGACAAGTGACTATAGTTTTGCATAACTTATGTAGTCATAATGTAAACAACAGAAATCTGTAGGTATTTCCGAGTTTTCATTCTTGATATTCAATATAATTTATTGATTTTTTTCATCAAATTAGACAACAGGTGTGAGTTCTTTGTAAATGACGGGCACATCATTTGGTGATTTCATATTTTCAATGGTGTTGAAAATATTCAAATCGGTGTATATAATACGCAATATTTCTATATATTTGTATATAATCACTATAGAATAAAATATACAAAGAAACATCACATAACTCAACAATATAATGCAAAAACACATTAGTTTTGTGGGCTCAAAATTTGAATCTTCACTAAAAAATATGGTAATACCATCTATCAAAGATACACAATAACTAAAAACTTCTTTATCAGTAAAGCATCAACAGATAAATAACTAAGTAGAAAAGAACTTCGAAATAAAAACATTACTCATTTCCTGGTGCATTTCGCGCGCCTAAAGAAAGGAAATACAATATTTCGCTTCCAATGTGGACAGAATTTTTACCGATGGTGGCGCTGTTCAACCGATAAACAGGTGATCGTAATCATTGAATGTTGAAGTTAGGTTACATTTATAATTTTGGTGTTTTTTTGTTTTGAGTTTTTCGATTGTGAATTTGTTTTGATCATTATAGACATAAGAAACTAATAAATGAGTGAAATAAATCACTTTCAGTCACGGGAAGAAACCAAAACAATATGAAAAAACAGTAGACAGGACTTTGTTTTACCAGCTGGTAAATATGTCCCATAGATGTCGTATCTGGACGATGGGTAGACATTTTTGAGAACAGTTTTACCCTCTGAAAAAAGTACTGAAAACGAAAGAAAAAAATATACGTGTTGATATCAGTTTATTCCAAAAGTAAAGCACATTGAAAATTGAACAATGTCTCTTGAAATTTACTCAGCTCAGCACTTTTATGCTGAAGTTAATTGCTGAAGTTTATTTGAGCTCTTTATCATTTTTTTATGTAGGACGGTAACCTGGTGGTAGGACGGTAGCCTGGGGGGTTGACGTCGGTGGTTTAAACCACCGACTGAGTGACCGATTGAGTGACTGAAGCAATTGCTTCAGTCACTCAATCCACCGCTGTGTAAACCGCTGGTTCGAACCTCAAGGTCGAACGATCGATTTTCACTTCCTATCAGCCAAGCCGTGTTAAGAATCACACGTTAAAAAGTAAGACCTTGTTAGTCCTTAGCTCGCACAAGTTTCGACTATTGAGAGTGGTCGTTCGTAAGAGGCCAACAGCTGGTTAACGGAAAAACAGATTTTAACAGAACAGATCATTTCTTTATGAAGTGTGCCGTAGGTCGAGGGTTTTTGATAAAATATTTCACGTGGGGACGAATACATACATTATGACTGTTACTGTTTGTCCTAGGACGAATTTCAAAAGTGTTCTCGTTTTATTTTCATATTTGTTATTATCAACCCAGGTCTGGTTTGCTGTTACTCAATAGTCAAGAAAGTATTTCAAACATGACAAAGTACCAAATCGTGAGTAATAGTTTGAATGCAATTATTCTGACATACTAACCACCTCGCGACTGTAATAGGTTCCTTAGTACTTAATTCCTGCACGATGAGGGAGCCAGGTTGTAACTGTCGCAAGACGTTCCAATTTCACTGGAAAACTCATATCATTTTTTGGCTAAATGCGCCGTACGAAGCAAAAGCCAAGATAACCTAGAGAGAGCTTATCATTTTTGTTTTGCAATCAACGGTTTTGTAGTAGAGTGTCCAGAGCTTGATCATTTGCTTCATAGATGGAGGTGGCTTTCTGTTTTTTTTATAATTTGTGTTGATGTCAATGTCATTGGTGAGTTTTTATCTGATGAGTTTATGTTTTCTTGTGACATATGAAATTAATACATTTCTATTCAGTTTTTTGACAACATAGATCTACGTTGAACTGTTGAATCAAAAATTGCGAGTACTCGTGTGATATGGCGGATTTATTAACAGAAACAGTTCTACCTGAAGATCTGAAAGTAAGTTCTCTCTCCAGCAATATGTTGGACTTTATGAAAAACACAAAAAGATATGAGTCATACCACAAATTTTTATTTCTCTGGAACATAATAAAGATTGATTCTTTCCATTAATTTTCAGAAATTCGAAAAAATATATCATGATCAACTCTACAAAAATGATGTAACTCCAAAAGCTCAGTTTGATTATGCATGGTGTTTGGTGAGGAGTAAATATCCTGCTGACATCCAGAAAGGCATTGTCTTGTTCGAAGAACTATATAGAACTCATGAGGAAGGTCAAAGGGATTACATGTACTATCTTGCCATTGGAAATGCCAGATTGAAGGAATATAATAAGGCACTGAATTATGTCCGTATGTTCCTGTCAGTAGAACCAGGTAAGAGTAGCAGTTCAGTTGATGTTAGTCTCAACTATAAATATATCCGATCGCACAAACATATGGAAGTGATTTTGGGACTTGAAACTAGAGTATAGGGTAAATTTGGTTCTGGAAGAGACAGTTGGTGCTATATTTTTATGAACTATCTATCCCGTCACTAGCGTTATATCTATGTGTGAATTCTTAACAATAAATAAGTGCTTCAGTTATTCAAGTTCAATAACTTTATTCAATAATACAGATTACTCTGTCTCAAGTGAATAGTCTGCATGATTCTGACATGACCATGTGGGAGGATCATTACCGGCACAGAGGGTCAGTCTAGTCATTGAAGTCCAATGTTTTGTGATAAACCAAACCCTTTCTCTTCTAGATAACCAAAAACGGGAACTTTTCATTTCCTTTGTAACTTGAGATCACTTTTTGGAATTTTGCTTTCCTTCCTTTCCAATCCAGCCTTTTCTCTAAGTCACTGGAAATCTGTAGGAGTTTTCTCGAGAACTCTCGGAATGTTTTCCATTCTCTGGTCTCCCTGATGAATCACTGTATGGCTTTTTTTGAGGTGCAAAGATTGTATTATACGCATCACTTCTCTGCATTATGGTGATAGTTAACTCAATGGTACTTCTATCAAACTGGTGCCAGGGTCTTGTTGATGCTGAAATGTTATCCCTAGTTGTAGCAACTTTTTATCCTAGTAAATATTATTTTCCCATATATGATAGATGGTTTGTATAAACTTGCAAACATTCTTCTTCAATATTGCTTGTTCAGACACAGTTACCCTTAACTATATTTCCATTCATTTAAAAGTAACTTTTACTTCCTCAACTCTGTAGTCTTTTGATCAGTTTATGAATTAGCTAAGGAATCACTGCTTCAAGTATTTTTGTTTGTATCACATTTCCAGAATCCCCACAATTTTTTTGTCATTGTTTAAGCTGCTCTCCAAAATGTTACATTTCAACATAGATCCCTTTAAACATTCTTCAAATCATGACTTTGTATTCTACAATGAAATAAAAGTTCTTTTGCATATCCATTTTCAAGGTAACCAGCAAGTATTAACTCTACAAGAAATGATAAAGAAGAAAATGGAAAAAGAAGGCATGTTTGGTATGGCAGTAGCAGGAGGAGCCATCTTAGCCGTTGGTGCTATTGTAGGAGTTGGTATGGCACTAGCCAGCAAAGGCAAATCTTAGTTCTATCCATTGTCTAGTTTTATAATAGTCAGGGGTTATGATATATCTATCTGTAAAATTGCTAACTTCCTAAAAATTCTTAATATATTATTCATGTAGAATTTATCTTATGTATTTGCTTTAATTGGAAATTTGAACCAAAGCACTTCTTTGTGGGTATTTAAACAGCTCTTGATGAAGAGGAAAATTAATTTAAGGCTTTTTCAACATATCGTGAACATTCTGACTGTGTTTTAAGTTACGTGATATTAGTGTTGGTTTATTGTAAATACAAATCAAATAAATATTTAAATACTCAGTGTTTTTGAACTTTAATGACAGACATCATCAGATGCTCAAATAATTATCTTCATTTTCTATTGTATAAAATAAAGATATAAGATTCATGAGAAAGGAAGGTAAATCACTACAGAATATGGATGACAAGACACTAGTGTCCCATAGAATTATACATAATGCCATTGGGTCAAATAGTAGGAACACAACGTATTTCTGCTGATGACGAAATTATGTTCTCTTTGTCAACATTTATCACTATCTTAGTTTGCTTCAAGTGAGTTGTTATTGATATTTTCTACCTGAACGGGTGTTACTAATTCTTCTACCAGAAGCTTTGACTCATTCAGAGGGTGTGCCAGCATTATTAACCAATGACCACTTTCAACAGCTATGAGGTAAGTGATAATTTTGCACGAGAATCATATACCCTAAGAAAACCTGACAAACCTATGACGTCTTTTGCATTTGTCCCGCCAAGATTCCTGCTGTCATATCATTTCATTGTGATTTTGCAATTGTTGAAAATATTCTTTTCAAATTTTTTTATTTCATCAAGTTCTTTCTTTAACCATTAGTCGTAGAACCTAAAGAATGCATCGAGAAGATGTTCTTGAAAATAGTATAATTCAGTCCTATGAAAAAAATATTCATTCTTTCAAAAACTTTCACTGCGACATTTCAAAAAGTAATGCCAACTAGGAAAAAATCTAAAATGTGAAAACGAAATAATTCAAGTATAAATAATGGGGATATCCAACATCAGGATCTTAAAAAAGGGACAAAGTTCTTAATTATTCCATCCTTGTTATCTGGTGAACAAACATAAATATTGAGGGCGAAAAGTAAAAGTAGGAAATATTCTAAATGTCCTAAGGTTACATTTGAATTGTTTGTTTTTGTTTTAGAAAAGTGCATGAAGTAGATTTTGTAGAAAGACTACATTGAAAATATTATTTTTACCTGCTATAAAAATTCCACATTGTAAAACAAATTATTTTTTTCTTCTTCTAAAAACCCAAAAAACCCCTAACAAATAATATATATGAAGAAATACTTATAAAATATATCAGTTTAAAGACTATCATACCTTACAAATACTAATTCTAAAGATCCAATTCAATCTTATGTGGAATGAATAACACAATAAAAAAATATTGATATAATGAAAGGGATTTGGGTAATAGATAAATTCCGAATTTACCAAGGTTTCGAAAGTGTATAGTGAGCTAAAATGTTCAGTGTGAGCACGTCTTTTTCTGGATAATGAAAATACCATATCAAATGACTTGTCAACGAACTCTACAAAAAAATGGATACATTTATAACAGTAATAACTGTTAACAATTTGTTTGACTTTTACAAGAGCTTCACATCTACATACATACACCATACCTATGAATTTGCTATGCATCTACTTTCAAACATATAAGAATTTGTTTTTAATGGTAAAATTGCATTAAGTAAAGGTTTAGGCATGCACATTCCTTGAGAAGTGCAAATGAATAGGTACCTATTCTTCTCTTTTTCGTGGTATGTGGTAATACTGGTATATCATTAAAATATACTATAAAAATAACTCTGTGCAATAAAAAACAAAAATATAAGGAAAGAAGCCATAAACGAAATCGTGAATCACAAATTTGATTATCGGTTCTGTATTTCACAACTTGAAGTAGTGTTCTAAAAACATGTAGGATTTCCATGGTAGGAGTTCATGAGCCATTGAACGTGTTTCAGAGCCTGAATTTTTGACCAGTGTCTATTGATATAATTATGAAAAACATGGCAAACTGGTGGACTGCCAACTGTTGTTCTGAAAGATTTGACTTCAAAGTTTACATGCTTCAAATTCGACCATAACTTGTTCAAATCATGAAGAATATTAACATTGACAAAAATATTGTTTCAAATGGTCATTATTCTGAGTGGTTTCTAATCAAAATTTTGGTGAACAGTGCTTTGATATGGCATAGATAGGAGGAAGGTACAACAGACTCTTCATATATTATTATTGTTAACATACAGGATAATTTCAGTGAAGAATACAACCTGTCAATGTGATGTTGTTTATTCTCGTGGATTTTCCTTGCTGTCATCAAGAGAAGGACGTCCTGGATGACTTAATTTATTTTCTCTTTCAATGTTATTTAGACAATTGCCAATTACCCAAGAGAGAATGTTATTGTTTATTTCGAGAACATTGTTTTTTGAAATTTAATGTTCTGTAGTATATTGCAACAATTTTCTATAACCTTATCAACTTGCTTATTTGTTTTCAATTCAAGGTTAATCATTTTGGCAGACATTGTCATTTGACAGGTTATTTCCTGAATTTACATATGGATTTTGAGATTTAGACCAGAAAAAATAAAAATTTCCCTACTTTTCAAGGTCATAGTGAAGTCAATGTATTTATTATTTATTACCAATTTTGTCAATGTGGCATCTATTGGTCACTTCCTGAAACATAAATTCTCTACTTGAGCGGGATTATTACTTTCAAATGGTATCTTCGTATATTGTCTAATAGAGGGCAGTAGCAGTCCCTCCGATTTAAAATTCTAATAACTTACTACATTAAAAAAAACAATGTTTGTTTAATAATGACGAGTTTCATAACAGTGACATTCGTAATTTATACTGTAAAGCTAGTGAATTTTTTTCCCACAGAATCATATCTCTGATTTAGTTACTGGGTACCTACCTACATCTGTCGTTATTACTGTTATTTTTTTGTGTTCAAATATTTAATTCCTTTTTGCATTTTCTCTATGGATATTCGATGTTTTTTTCGGATAAATCAATGTTAATGATTATTGAATACCAGAACTGTCAAATATTTATCAAACTCATCATATCTCTCCCGTAAAAATTAGGTGGAATTTTCTCTAATTTGTGTTTACATACGCATATTGAGAATACGTATTCTTAATTTACAATAGAAATTATACCTATGCAAAAATAGCTGTGAAGGTAGCAGTATATTTCTGAAGAACGAAGCGTAGGTAATATATCCACGATTAATTAATTTAGGTCCTATGTATTGTTTTCAAAACTACGATTTTTAATATTCCCTGTTCTCTAGTCTGAAACGGCCGTATGCTACTTGAGGCAGGTAAGTATATGGAATACTTATTTAGTAATGAAATAAACTATCTCAAGGACTCAAGGTGATGAAGAATATTTTCGAAATAGTGGTTTGGCACCATTTATGACGTCAGAGCTATTTATATAACAACTCGAAGGGCTTGAGCGTCCCAATTAAATTCCAATTCATAAAGAAACGCCCTTGTATAAAAGTAGGTCAATTCATACACACCTTATTGAACTCAATTTATCATTAGATTGCGCCTCATGGATTTCTTCAATATCTATCAAATTCTATATGAAAAACTGTTTTTTGTGACCTTATTCTCTGTATGATATTGCATGATACTGCATTTGTCGAAACATTTCTGAGAACAAGTAATTCGAAATCTTTGATTGGTCAGGGAGTGTAAATTTCAAATTAGTTAAATTGCTCTTCAACGCACTGGCATATGTCACAACAAACATATGAACGTAAGAGAGCCAAAAATGTGATTTCGCGGTCGCTCCTGGACCTAACCTTACATCTCTCATCCTTTTTAAAAAACGTCCCGAGTCTTCGAAGTAGGTATGACTGTATTTTTCACGTGAACGGATTCAGTAAGGTCTTCAAGTGTTTAGCCAACTTCTAAGTAGGCGAACCTATCGCAATCGCGATATGTATTTTAGCATGTTTATGCAACAATTCCTAAGAAATGAACCTAATAACTTCTTACTAAGACTGAGAATGGTTCTGGTTTATGCACATGTAACACAACTACAATTATTCTTTGATATTTTACTACCTATACTGTTTCATTCATTTTTCAAATTATTATAATTGATATAAATTTGAAAAAATCTTTTTGTGATTTCTGTGGTCACTGACAGATATAAATATTTGTTTGGCGCATTCTCATTTTTGTTATAGTCCAAGCTCTTAGTTATTATTAGTTTAATGTTGGCCAACTTTCTATGTATATTGCATAGTTCTTAGTCTTAGTCGAGTTTCCATGAACGCTATTGTGATATTAGACATTATAAAAGTGATAATTTTTAAATTAACCCATTAACTAATTTTTGAAAATTCTTTTTGATCATTTTGTTTGTAAAGAAAATGATTGAATTCCTAATACAAAAAATTTCTAGTTTGTTTTAGTTTTGCAAGGGTTGGGCTTGTTTTTAACAACCAGAATCTATATAGATTCAAATAGAGCTTTTCAAATGCATATTTTATGTTTGTAACCATTTCAGGTTTTAATCTACATAAACACCTAAATACTTTATTTGCTGAATCAGTTTTCAGCATTTGTCTTTCAACTTTGACTAAGGAGGTATTAGCTGAATTACTTTGGAATATTCAAATTAATGGTTAGTATATACAGTGTCATCCCCAAAAAGTATGCACCATATGGGAAACTTGTTTATTAAAGGTTTTTCGACAAAATTTTATTCTTGGTAAAAGTTTGTGCATCCCCTTAAAGTAAACATGCACCAAAATACAGTAAAAGACACGAAATATACGGAGAACCTTCAAATATTTGATTTTGAGACAAAAGTAAAGTACTCCTATTTTGAAAAATCTCGGGAAATGTTATTCAAGAAAGTTTTTCAACATTGAAAAATACATCTAGATTTGAAGTCATGGCCATCCAAGCAAAGTATTATTTTTTTACCCATTTTTTTTTTAAATGGGGACTACAAAAAAAATTGCTAAAGCGATAAATAGAGAGCATCCTATATATGACGGTTTATTTTAAAAACCTATAATATTACGAATTACACAACTATGGTGCTAACCACGGTCAATTTTTTTGAATAGTAAGATAATTTTCAAAGTTTTTGGTGCAAAGTTATTTTTATTTATTGTTAACACAGAAAATTACTCGAAATTATATTGTATTATAACAAGAACTCAATACTCAATAATATCAAATCACAAAAAATCAAAATAAAATAGGTATTTAGAGTTTGTTCCAAAATACCTATTTTATTTTGATGTTTTGTGATTTGATATTATTGAGTATTAAGTTCTTGTTACAATACTGTACAATTTTGAGTAATTTTCGGTGTCAACAAAAAATAAAAATAACTTTGCACCAAAAAATTATTTTACTCTTCAAAACAATTGGCCGAAAACAACCGAAAACTTATTACTGCCTTGGAAATTGACGTAACAATTCAAAATTCAAAAATTTCAGATAAAACGTTTTAAGGTGAATAAATGAGTCAGTACATACACACAATTGTGAAATGATTCTGGATAATATAAGACTTGTCGACACCAGTAAAAAATATTTCGACCGTGACAGGACTCGAACCTGCAATCTTCGGATTCGAAGTCCGACGCCTTATCCATTAGGCCACACGGTCTACGTGAGCAGAAGTCGACAACATTGTATGTGACACTATATTTGTAGTTCTTAAACTATTTTAGATAGATATGATTGTTCACGACGACGATGTTATTGAACAAAAGTAATTTTTGTGGAGAAATCAGAGTTTTTGTTGGATTTCGTTTCCAAAATGTGTTATTTATCAGTAATTTGTAGTATTCAAAACTTTGCCTATCGAAAAAAGAAATAAGAAAATTAGTTATGCGATACCTGTATTTTAACGTTTCGGCAGCCAAAATCTGCGTCCGCCTTCAGAATGGAAAACAATATAACTTGCAGTCAGGGGTGGATTCAGATTTAAATTAAGGGAGGGTGGGTTTTTGAATTTTGGTGGGGGTGTAATTTTCAAGGAAAATAATTTATATGAAAGTTTGTATGCGTGTATCTATTACAATACTAAGTTTAAATGTAATGAATGTTGAAAACACACACTGTTCTCAATCACCAGAAGCGCAACACTCTTTTCGACGCGTGCTTCACCAACTAATTTTATGTCTTCAGAAGATGGAGAACACTAAAACTGGTACCTATTCATATCTAACAGACACTCATCAATGATTTCAGGTAGAAATTCGCAATAAATTTTCTGGTAAAAGTTCCGGCTAATTTTATTAGACCAAATCATCCAAAAAAAATAATTCATTCAGGCAAGTCTCAACTTCCTACACTGTAGGTTAATGGACTGACACCTATCAGAATTCAACTACTCCCCTGGCTAATAACACGAAGAGCGTTGAATTATATCCGACAGGTGTCAGTGCAGGATTCTTCACCTCTCCCTTTCTTTTCTCTCATTTTTTTACCATTATTTTTTCTATCTTCACTGCCCAAAATTTCCCAACTATTTCCCAAGTAGAAATAACAGGGGGGAGGCTCTCCCCATCCCCCCCATGGCAACGGCCCTGAGAATACCTATTCAATTTAATCGAAATAAACGTCATTTGAAACTGTGCACTTTTATCGAAGTAACACATCTCGATCAATTCCATAAGCATGAAAAGTGTCTGCTCGAGATTCGATTAGGTTTACGAAGACCGATTTTGCCTGGTCCTGATTAGTGAAGTGCTTGAAAAGATGATAGTCGGTTGGCGAGAGGTCTGGGAAATATGGTGGGTGAGACGGTACTTCGACGTTTAATAATAATAATGAAACTTTATTCACTTAACAGATAGCTGTACAGAATATAAAATATAAATACATTTTGAAATAATTATTAAATGAATAAAACGATAAGTACCCAAGTACTTGTTTCGTTATAGCAATAAAACATACATAAAATTAATTTTAGATCGATCTATAAAAATTATAATGAATTTTCAATGAAGTTATGCAATGAATAAAATAATAGGAATATAAACATTATAATAATATTTCAATAGAAACAGGTAAACGTCACACTATTGGAGAGGATTTAATTTTACCGGCAATAAAAGAAGTAATAACTACTGTGCTCCATAAACCAGCAGCAGATATTATCCGAAAAATTCCTTTGAGCAATAGTTCCGTGCAAAGACGAATTGTTGAGATGGCTGAAAACATTGAAGAGTCATTGTGCAATCATCTGAAGACTTCTAAATTCTCAATTCATCTCAACTCATCTAAATGAGTCTACTTTACCAACCAATGAAGCATTGTTTTGTCATACGTGAAGTTTATTAAACATGAGAAAATATATCAAGAACTACTATTTGCCAGAAATTTAGAGTCGGATACAAAAGGAGAAACCATATATAATACAATGGAAAAATTGTCTCTAGCTCATTACCTAGTTGTGATTCACTAAATTTGGTTGGGGAATTCAATATCAATCTCCTATTAATCAATAACTTGGTTGAAATTTTTTTTTAATTTTCTCAAAACTTACAATTTATCACAGGTTATTGAAGTCC